AAAAAAAAAAAAAAAAAACCTTATTTTTCTAACTGTATTTGTATTTAAATTTTGGTAACGAATTTGATGTGACCCTGAGGCAAAAGTTGTTCAGTTTGGGGACGGGGTGAAGCACCGCTGCTACGGGTGGCGGCGCTGTCAGTAGGAGAATGGGAGGCCTACAGTTAGTGGTGGGAGTGTCACCTGTGATGTCGGTGTGTAAGCACCTGTTCACACGTGCGGGGGAGCTATGGAGATCTTCTACGACTCCCATGTGACTGTATGGCCAGCCATAGCCTATGCTATGGCATTGGTACTTCCAACTGCTTGAATGGGCGGGGACGAACCCTACAGCCCTCCTCCTGTACACACACCTACAGACACATTTGCAACTACAGGCACATTTACAACACCAGTATACTGATGACATGACTCTCAACTGCTTTGGCAGCTTCGGGAGTACCTACACCGGAGTACATCTAGATGCGGGGGAGCTAGTGCTTTGGGGCTGCATCAATCGTAACGATGTCACCGAGAGTAGCGGGAGTAGGGGAGAATGACTTATTTCTTGCACGAACTGTGTCTTTGGTCGCATTTTAAGTTATGTTCATTTACTAATATAAATCGTTGTCGGTTTCCCAAGCAGTAAAACTCATATTGATTCTGTTTTCACGAACTCCTCTTCTCTACATAAATTGAACTTGGTTGTATTCGAGGTAACACTCCCTATGAAGTCTAAAGCGTTGAAAAGATTGACCTCGTTGTTTTCTAGGTTGGTAAGAACTCTGTTCCTTGTCATACTTTAGGATATATTCATTCTCTAATATATATGTTGTTGTCTTATGATTTTCCCTGGCAGTAAATCTCGTGTTAATTTTGTGTTCATGATCTCAGCTCTTCTTCTCTGCATATATTGTACATGGTCGTTTTTTAGGCCATATTAATTCATGAAGTCTAGAGAGTAGAATATATCGACCTGATCACTTCCTAGTCGATTTTTTATGTACAGAGCATATGCTGTGTGGTCCTGTTCGTGCGGTTGTTAACTTTGGTAGTAGAACAGTTTTCCTTTCCCTTCAATAAGTAATATTGGGTATTTCCACAAGTAATTTTGCTATTTCTACCATGCACTTTGGTGGTGTTTGGTTTGGAATCTTGTGTTTTGCGTCTGGTAATGTTTAGGGGCGAGATCCGTTGAGCTGTTTAGAGCGTAGCATGTGACCTGGTCCTTTTTCAGACCAGCCTTCATTCATGTCGTCCCGAGCGTAGGAAGTGTATGCCCCGTGGTTTGTTTGATATGCGGTTGTGAAATAGTTAAAGTTACTTGCGGCGCACCGACACTTTGCGCTGCGCGATGCACTGTGCGCGGACCCGAGGTGCGCTCGCACCGGCGCGCGCCGCTCATCTGGGTGCGCAGTGCGCGCTGCGTGATACGCTGCGCACGTCTGGTGTGCTGCGCGCGTGTGTGCTGTCGAGCAGGTCGACAGGATAGGTTCTCGTGGGGCATAATAATCCCGTGGACAGCCGAGACGGTCGAGGTCCCGTGGACTCCCGCCTTTTTTACAAAGGCGAGAACCC